GCACCCACAGCTCCTGACTACACTCTGCTCAGTTTGGTCCCTGGGAGGCTCCTCTTTAGCCATCAGCAGGGGGTTAGTGTCACAACACAAGGCATGGAAGTATGGAGGGGCCCACAGGCAAAGAAACCTCCTATCTAGCCCTTCCCCAGCCTGGGCCCCCAGAGCTGGTGACCTCTTGGCCAAGGCCTGCCCCTGCAGCCCTGGCATGACTGTCCTCTCTCCCCTGAGATCTGGCCCCTGGTTTTTTCTGGCCACTGAAGCGGCTTAATGAGCCTTGGTCACATGGGCTGTGCTACTGCCTGTGGGGAGGGCCCAAACCCCCAGTGGCCACCCGGCCAGGCCCTGACGTCAGCGGCATTAACCGTACACCAGGCTTGTCTAATCTCTGGTCGGTGGCTGGGCCAGGTTAGTGCTGCCAGAGCCAGAGCTGAGGGCCATAGGGGCCTCACGGACACCTTGAGGTTGTAGGTCAGGTAGAAATGGTGGTGGCTAGAAGTGCTCACCGTAAATGCGCCCCCCCAAGACTAAGGTGTGGCCGCTGTGCTGTGGGCAAGCTCTCTTTGATCCTCTGCCCTGGACTGTGAATCAGGCACCAGCACCCATTGATCCTGTTCCTTAGGGTGTAATTATGCTGGTGTGGTGAGTGGGGCTGAGCAGGCTTCAGGCTGGGAGACTCAGGAGCCCCTCACATTTGCTGGCCTTGGACGGGGCAGTTGGAGGCCAGGCAGCGTCCCCAACCCACAGGATCTGGGAATACCAGTCCTGAATCCCAGACCTTGGGGCCAGAATGATGTGTGGGAGGAGACTCCCTGGAGGGCATGGCCCAGCTCCTGCATATTGTTTGGGCCCTTCTCTGTCCCTTGCCCAGGAAGGCTGGGGAGCTCACTACCTTTCTTCCAAGACAAGGCAACTATGCAGAAGGCACCATTGGTCCACCTCTCCTGACAGCTTCCTCTCTCTCTAGCCTAACACTTCCAGCTCCTCAAGGCCTCCTATCCTCTGCCTTGCCTCTGCCCACTATATCCCTGTCACTACCCTCCAGCTGGACATCGAGGATGCTGCCTACACTGAGCTTTCTGCCCAGCCACGAGTGTTTGTCTGCCTCCTGAACATCTCCCCCAGGTGGCCACAGCTCCTGCAAACTCAGCCCATTCAACACTCCCTCGCTGTCCAGGCTTGGTGGTGGTGATGTCATGCGTGCTTGATCAACCGCATAGATCCAGACCCCTGTTGCTGAGCTCCTCACCCTGCAGACCCAGGCTCTGTTGGGTAATGAAGACATGGCCTACGTCTCATGGGTCCCCCAGCCCCACTCCCTTCCTTGCACATGCCCATACTGGCACCAAGGATAAACGTGTGCCCCTATATACATGTTTTTGTTTGTTTTGGGTTTTTTTTTAGAGGTGAAATGTTGCTCTGTTGCCCATGCTGGAGTGCAGTGGCACAATCATAGCTCACCGCAACCTCAATCTCCTGGGCTTAAGCGACCCTCCTGCCTCAGCCTCCCACGTAGCTGGGACTACAGATGCACACCCCCACACCTGGCTAATCAGAAAATTTTTTTGTAGAGATGGGAGTCTTTGCTATGTTGTCCAGGCTGGTCTCAAACTCTTGGGGCTCAAGTGGTCTTCCCATGTCACCTTCCCAAGTCACTGAAATTACAGGTGTGAACCACTGTGCCTGGCTCCCTTATATACATGTTTTTATGAACATTTTTAATGACTGTTTTTCCAGAAGCAGATTTTGAAAATATTATTGATGATTTTTGTCTACATTAAAGCCAGGAAAATAAAATTATTATTATTATTATTATTATTTTGAGACAGAGTCTCGTTTTGTTGCTCAGGCTAGAGTGAGTGCCGTGGCGTCAGCCTAGCTCACAGCAACCTCAAACTCCTGGGCCCAAGCCAAATCCCCGCCCTGCCTCAGCCTCACTGAGTAGCTGGGACTACAGGCATGGCCCACGTCCACCATGCCTGGCTAATTTTTTCTATATATTACGATAGTTGGCCATTAATTTCTTCTATTGTAGTTAAGAGATGGGTCCGCTTTGCCTCAGGCTGGTTCAAACCCTGAGTCGAGCTATCCAATAGACAAACCGCCCGCTCGCCTCCCAGATGCTAGATTACAGTGTGTGATCCCACCCAGCTAGAATAAAATTATAATAAATTCTGTTTTAGTAATAAATAAATTATTTAATCTTAAAATAATGTTGAGTTCAGGGTGGATGCAGTGGCTCATGCTTACAATCCCAGCACTCTGGGAGGCTGTCAGGAGGATCACAGGAGCCCAGGAGTTTGAGGCTCTGTGTGAGCTGCGATCACATCCCTGCTTCATTACAGCCTGGGCAACAGAGCAAGACCTTGTTTAAAAAAAAAAAAAATACATAGAACAGAGTTAAAAAGGCAACTCACAGAATAGGAGAAAAATATTTGTAAATCATATCTCTGATAAGAGATTATTTTCCAGAATATGTAGAGAACTCCTAAAACTCAACAACAAAAAACCAGATAATTCAATTCAAAAATGGGCTAAGGACTTGAAGACATTTCTCCAGAGAAGATATACAAATGGCCAATAAGTACATGAAAAGAGATCTCAAAATCCTAAGCAATAGGGAAATGAAACAAAAACACATGAGGGCCTGGCGCGGTGGCTCATGCCTATAATCCTAGAGGCCGAGGTGGGCGTATTGCTCAAGGTCAGGAGTTCGAAACCACCCTGAGCAAGAGCGAGACCCCATCTCTACTATAATAGAAACAAATTAATTGGCCACTAATATATATGGAAAAATTAGCCGGGAATGGTGGCGCATGCCTGTACCCAGCTACTCGGGAGGCTGAGCCAGGAGGATTGCTTGAGCCAGGAGTTGAGGTTGCTGTGAGCTAGGCTGATGTCATGGCAACTCACTCTAGCCTGGGCACAAAGCAAGATCTGCCTCAAAAAAAAAAAAAAAAAAAAACTACAATGAGATACCATCTCCCACGCAGTAGGATGGGTACTATCAAAATAATAGAAAATAACAAGAGTTCGCAAGGATATGGAGAAACTGGAACCCTTGTGCACTGTTGGTGGGAATATAAAATAGGACAGCTGCTGTGGAAACCATTATTCAAATTATTAAAAATACAATTATTCTATGATTCACCTGTTCAACCTCTGGGTATATTCCCAAAATAATTGAAAACAGGGTCTCAAAGAGATATTTGTACACCCATGTTCTTAGCAGCATTATTCACAATAGCCAAAAGGTGGAAGCAACCCAACAGATGAATGAATCAACAAAATGTGGTGTTAGACAATGGAATATTATTCAGCCTTAAAAAGGAAGGGGATTCTGCGCTGGGTGCGGTGGCTCACGCCTGTAATCCTAGCACTTTGGGAGGCCAAGGTGGAGAGGATTGTTTGAGCTCAGGAGTTCGAAACCAGCCTGAGTAAGAGCGAGACCCCGTCTCTACCATAAATAGAAAGAAATTAGCCAAACAACTAAAAATAGAAAAAATTAGCCGGGCATGGTGGCGCACGCCTGTAGTCCCAGCTACTTGGGAGGCTGAGGCAGCAGGATCACTTGAGCTCAGGAGTTTGAGGTTGCTGTGAGCTAGGCTGACGCCACGGCACTCTAGCCCAGGCAACAGAGTAAGACTCTGTCTCAAAAAAAATAAGGAAGGAGATTCTGACACATGCTACATGTAGATGAACATTGAGGTCATTATGCTAAGTGAAATAAACTCATCATAAAAAGATAAATACTGGGCTGGGTGTGTGGCTCACACCTGTAATCCTAGCACTTGGGGAGACTGAGGCAGGAGGATTGCTTGAGGCCAGGAGTTCGAGACCAGCCTGAGGAAGAGTGAGACCCCATTCTACAAAAAAATAGAAAAATTAGCCAGGCATGGTGGCACACACCTGTATTCCCAGCTACTTGGGAGGCTGAGGCAGGAGAATCACTCAAGCCCAGGAGTTTGAGGTTGCTGTGAGCTATGATGATGCTACTGCACTCTAGGCCCAGGTGACAGAACAAGATCCTGTCTCAAAAAAAAAAAAAAAAAAAAAAAAAAGACAAATACTGTATGATTCTTCTTATAAGAGGAACTTAGAGTAATCAAATCCACAGAGACTGAAAGTAGAATGGTGGTTGCCAGAGGCTGAGGGAAAGGAGAAAAGGCCAGTCATTATTTATGGGTACAGAGTGTCAGTTTTACAAGATGAAAAGAGTTCTGGAGATGGATGGTGGTAATGGTCGCACAACATTTTGAATATATGTAATACTATTGAAGTGTACGTTTAAAAATGGTTAAGATGGTAAATTTTATGATACATACATTTTACCACAATTTTCAAAATTGGCAAAAAAAAAAACCCTAAAAATATATATAGGAGCAAATATTTTTCCTTTTGCTTCAAGCCCCAATGTCTTGGCATGCCTCTGTTGGATTTTGATATTTTGTTCATTGTGGATTTCTTGCATTAATTTAGATTTTTAATCATTGTTTTCATATATTATTTATCTTGATTACTTAATTTTTTGGCACTGCTATAAATTTTGCACCCAAGGTAAGTGCCTCACTTGCCTCACCCTGATCCCAGCCCCAGTTATGTCCCAGCAACAAGGCCTTCCCTGACTGTCCATCAACTCCTGGAGAAAGCCAGGTGCTCTGCCCCCTTCCCTGTGCCTGCTCTGCAGAGCTCCTGTGGCCACCAGCCCATGTTTCCAGGCCTTATACCCTCTATGGTCCCTGCCAGAATGAGCCTCCACCTCAAACTCCCTCTTGATCCAAGACTGTCCCAGGGAGCCTTTCCCACAGCTCCTCTTCCCCTCAACTCCCTCCAGGATGCACAAGTTGGTCCCCTACCTGCAAGAGTGTCTCTCACTTTGTCAGGCCAGGTGCTTCTTGCTGGAAGGGGCATCTTCCCACTTCATGCCCAGTCCAGCATTGGGCACTTAATTATGCCTATGATCTGTGACAATCAAGCGACACCCCCCAAGAAAGGACAACGGGGCCTGATGCAAAGGTTTATTGCTGAGTCTGCGCATCTAGCTGAAGGGAGCGAGAATTGTGCCCTGGCCTTGCGGACAGAAGCTCCTTGTCCCCGACTGCAGCACAGGCCCTGGCCCCTGGGCATAAGCAAAGACTCAGTGGTTGATGAGGAAGGTGGGAGCAGGGATGAGGGGGAAATGGGCCTTCATCACTAATGGCTCAGGCAAGGCCCTCAGTTTCCCCTCCAGGGAAAGGGCCCTGAATGGAGAGGGTAAGAGAAGCTGCTGGCAGGGACAGGAGGGTCACCTGGGTTAGCTTGTGACCCCACCTGAGGTAGACTCTTTTGGGCACAGCCTGGGCCTCCATCCTGTCCTGAATATTCTGCCCAGGGCAGATCGATGGGAGGTGGACTCTGCCCCCAGTCACCCCACAGAACAGCTCGGCTATTGGTTATAGCTGGTGTCAACAGTACCCTCCCTCAACACACTGTCCCCTTGGCCAGCCAGCCCAGAGTACTGTGTGTGGGTGGGGGAGGTGGGGCATGGATCAGGTATCCAAGGACAGAGGGGGCAGATCCCGCTAGAGAAGGAGCTGGGGGTTACTCCGAGCCTGGTATTTGGGGAAGGGTCTTGTTTATGTCTCTCCCTGGCCCCCAGGGGTGCCTAGATCTGCCCCCTACTACTAATTTATCTATGTGGGGACTGCACAGGCCAGAGCTGTCATGGACTTTGGACCCCTGAAGCTGTTGGGAGGAACAGTCACTGGCCAGTGCATAGACAGGTGTCAGACTTGCCACATGGAGGTGGCTGGGCTGGGCTGGGCTGGGCTGCTGGTAAGCATGAGGCCTGCTCCCAGGAGGGACACCCTCTGCCCCGTAGGGAACTCTGGGAGGGAGGGCTGTTTGCTGAGCCCAGACCCACCAGGTGAGCCGTGGGGCCCCATGGCCAAGAGAGCTGCAAGAGATTGGTCATTGGGGCACTGCTGAGTCACTGTGAGCTGCCCCAGGTCCTGCCTGTTCCTAGCTGGGGCTGGCTGCTGTGAGTCCTGAGGCCAGTGCGGCCAGGCAGTGAAGGGCAGGGCTGGGGTTGAGGGCATGGGGGTATGCTATGGCAGAGGGTCTGCGCCTCAAGACTAGCAGGACTCAGGGCTTTGGGTCTGTGGCTGGTGAGGCGGCAGGCTGGGGCTCAGGAGGCCTGGGGGGCTGATAGGGTGCTGGGGGCTGAGACTACAAGGCAGCTAGGACTACAGGGTCTCAGGGCAAGGGACACGCATGATTTCAGGCACCTGTGAAGAGAAAAGGAAACCGAGTCACTATCCCTGAGACTCACAATTAATGGGTTTAGGCATTGTGTGAGGTGGCCCGGGAAGCTGAGACACTGGGGGTGGGGTGGGAGAGTGGGGTTGAGGGTGCTGGGGCCCTGGGCTAAAAGAAAGTAAATGGGCGGGACTTATGAGCTGGGGAGGGGCCTGTGGCAGTGGGGTGGAGTCTGGGGAGCCCGGGTGGGGCTTGGAAGCAGTGGGGAGTGGAAGTGAAACTCCAGGCCAGGCAGTGGGGGTGGTCAGAGAGCTTGGGTGGGGTGTGCTGATCTGGGACGGGGTCTGCAGGAGTGAGCTGGGGGAGCTGGGGGAGCTGGGAGCAGGGCTTGGGGGATTGAACTAAGGGGGAGGGGAGGGGCACGTCTGGGCCAGCGAGGACCCCCACCTCAGAAGAGGCCGCAGTCTTTGAGGTTCTCCTTGATGATGATATCAGTGACAGCGTCGAAGACAAATTTGACGTTCTGCGTGTCTGTGGCGCACGTCATGTGGGAATAAATCTCCTTCACGTCGCGTCGCATGTTGAGCTCAAGGAACTGCACCTTGATGTAGTTGCCGGCGTCCTCGTAGGTGTTGGGCCCTGCAGGGGAGGGGAGGGCTCACTCCGGGCCCCAGCCCTTCCCCTGGCGTGAGGCGCGCGGCCCGGATCGCGGGGCTGGGGCGCCGCCCGGCGGCCGTGCCGGGGGTTCTCACCGTCGTAGTCCGGGAAGCAGATGCTGAGGTGAGCCTTTTTTATCTTTTCGGAGAAAACATCCTTCTTGTTGAGGAAGAGCACGATGGACGTGGTGGCGAAGTAGCGGTGGTTGCAGATGCTGTTGAACAGGTGCAGGCTCTCGTGCATGCGGTTCTGAGGAGGGCAGCGGCTGTCGGGCACCGGGGACTCGGACGGCCGCCCCCACGCGGGCCGCGTCCGACCGGCCGGCGCCTGGTCTCTGGACCCCCGGGCTCGCGGGGCCCCTCCGCTCGGAGGGCTCCCAGAGAGCCCCCGCATTGCCCTCAGGAGGGGCTGCTGGCTGCCTCCTTGCCGCCTCCCGACGCCGGGGCCAACGCTCCGCTCTGCCCGCCCGCCCGCAGCAGTCTCGGCCTGCGGGCCCGCAGATCCGCCTCGCCCTCGAACTCTCCTGGGCACTCACCACTTCGTCGTCCTCCACCAGCACCATGTCGTAGGCGCTCAGCGCCGCGATGAAGATAATGCAGGTCACGCCCTCGAAGCAGTGGATCCACTTCTTGCGCTCGGAGCGCTGCCCGCCCACGTCGAACATGCTGCGGGCGGTGGTGGCCTGAACCCGCGCCCCGCCCTGCCGGACGCGCCTACCCGCCGCCCTCCCCGTGCCCCTGGGAGCTGTCGAGGGGAGTGGCGCCTGGGGGTCGGGCCTTCTGCGGCGGGGCGAGCGCAGGGAGGGCGGGCGGTGCAAGCGCGGGCAGACCCCGGAGCTGGCGCGGGCCGTACCGGAAGTTGAGGTCCTTGAAGGAGAACTGCGTCTCGATGATGCCGGTGGTCTTGACACGGGAGCGCAGCACGTCCTGCTCGGTGGGCACGTAGCCCGGGGTGACCAGGCGCTCCAGGTCGGAGAGGTAGCTGCGGGGGGCCGAGGGTGTGAGCGCGTGGAGGGGCGTGCAGGGCCCCGCCCGCGGCCCGCGGCCCGCCCCGCCAGAGCGCTCACTAGCCCGCGGAGTCGTTGAGCTGGTACTCCGAGGCGCGATCGAAACAGGCCTGGATACCCGAGTCCTTCCACAGCCGCTGGATGATGTCCGACATCTCCTTGGGCATCGTGCCCTCCTCTATAGTGTCTGCCATGTGCATCAGCTTCCGGGCGTCGTCCTGGGGGCAGGGTGGGAGTGGTTGGTGGCAACCATGGACTTGGACCCAGTCGGGCGCCTGGAGCCCCAGAGGCCCCACTCAGCCCGCCTCATGGCACACCTGGCGCGCAGAGTCTCCGTACTGGATGTTGAGCGTGGTCATGGCGCGCACGATGGCCAGGATGGACTGCAACGTGTTGCCATAGATGATGGCTATGAACTCCAGGCACTCTTCCAGCGAGTACCCGTCCTGGTGGATAATCCTGCGGCCAGGACGAGCAGGATCAGAGCCTTGTGGGCGGGTGGGGAAGGACAGGCCCGGTGTTTGCACCCACCCCCAGGGACCTGGGGCGGGCGGGGCCACTCACTTCATCTGCTTGACGATGGTGCTCTTTCCGGACTCACCGGCACCTGCAAGGGAAGCCGTGCTTCAGGTCAAGCTGACTGCCTTTCCCTCCTGCAATGAGGCCCGCAAAATGGGGCCAGCCCGAGCTAGCTAGGTGGACGGGCAAGAGGCCTGGGCGCCAGCCGGACCCCCAGTCACACCTGCACTTGCTCTCTTCTCTTCCCCCCACCCCCACCCCGCGCCAATTCATAGTAAAGTCCTGACGCCCTGGCGGCCAAACGTTTGTAAATGTCAGGAAAGTGACAAAAGAGGGCCAACGATGGGAGCCAATGACATCAGCTGTGCGGGGACATGAGAAGTTGATTAGACCCTGGTGTAGGCAGCTTTTATTAGGCTATGAGACCAAAATAAAGAAATCCTGGAGCGCCACCTTGTGGAAATATCTGGTACTGCATGCAGGGATTATTTGAGATGAGTTGACCCCTATTCACACGAAGGAGTGGGGGATGTCTTCAAAAGGCTCAGAGGGAATTAGAACCTTTGGGTAGGGGAGAGGACAGAGCTGACATCCCTTCTAAGCCTGACCCTGCAAGGGCGTCGGGCATAGTTAATGGGATTTTAGGCTTAGCAAACCTGCCTTGGGGAGTAGGGGGGTCCTGGCTTGGTCCCTCTGCCCACCTCCAGCTAGTTGACTGGAGCTTGGAGAGCTTGGGTGGAGCCTGCCCAGCCCTCTTAAAGCTGCTCTTTCCCCTTGGGAGGTCAGAGAGTGACCCAGAGGCAGGCTTGGATCAGCCCCATCGCCCCTCACTATCCATGGCTGCAGGGATGTGGCCGTATCTGCTCTGTACTGGGTCTCAGGACCCTGCCCCCCTTTTTTGCTGCCTTGTAGGCCTATCAACGATAAAGCCCTGCACCTGAAGGCTTTTGTTTGTGGATATGGATGGTGCAAGCGGCTCCCCACTCCTGGGAGGACTATGACCTTCTCCTTTCCAAGGGTCCAGTGTGAGGCTCCCAGCACAGAGCCCCTGGCTTCTAAGCCCTCCCCAGAAGGCCCATCAAATCAAAGGCTGGAGCTTCAGGGAGCCCAGCCAGGGCAAAAGTGTGCAGCATACACACTGTCGTGCAGCTGCCCCAAGAGGGCCCATACACCTACCCAGAAGCAGCAGTTTCACGGTTCGAGCATCCTTCTCAGCATCCTCTTTCAGCTTCTTTTCTAGCTCTCTGGAGTGCTTCTCCTCAGCACTGGCCCCAGCCCCCATGGTCCCAGCAGTAGTTAAAGGGACACTGTGGGCAGGTGGCTCTTCTGGATGGAGGGGATCCCAAGAGCCTGGCCTTTCCCCTTCTGGCCCCAGGAGGACCTGCAACCAACTGGCTCTCCGCAGACCTGTGTAGGCCCTGGTGGGGCTGCTTAGTGGGATTTGGGGGCTGGAGGAGGTGCCCAAAAGCCAATCAGAGACAAGGACAGGTGAAGCCAGCTCAGCCCCCACAACCCTTCTAATCGGGCTGGCATGGCCCCAATCCCTCAACCGCTGACTCTGCACCCTGGCTGTGCCCCAACCCCCACCTTCCAGGAGAGGCCTTGGAGATAGTCTTGCCTCTGCCCAAGGGAGACAGGTTTGGTAGGGTCAGGGCTGAGACAGCGGAGGATAGGCCCGGGAGCCCTGGGGGTGGGGGCGGTAAGAGTGGAGCTGGCAGCAAGAGGGTGCATCAGGAGAAGCATGCATGGAGCACCTGCCACCGTCCTGGCACTGGGCTCAGCACTCTCCTTATCTTGGAAGCTCACACTAGTCCTGGGCGTGGGTGCCTCTATCATCAGCCCCATTTTACTGATGAGGAATTAGAGGCTCAAAGGGTCTCACAGCAGGCAGTGGTTGAGAAGAGCTGGGTGACTCTGGACCAAGCATTGTTTTCTGCAGGGAGTCAAGGTGGGCATTACATTTGCCCCATACTTGCTCTGGATCTGCCCCAGGCAGTTCCTCCGAAAGGACGCCAGTGGGCATGCATGTCTGCTTTGTGTGTCTGGGTGTATGTGTCTGTTCTTTACTGGCACCAAGTAAACAATGACTTGACACATTTGTGCATGTATACCTGTGTGTACACACGTGCCTGTGTGTTGGTGCCTTTGTGGGTGCATGTGCTCTTACATGAGTCTTCACGTGTTTATGAGTGCATGCTTATGTATGTGTGCACATGTATATAGTGTATGCATGTGTAAATACGCTTTCATGCACTTATCTTCATGCACACATGTGCTTATATATTTTTAAGTGCTTGTGTGGGTTCACCTGTGTGCGCCTCAATGTGCAAATGCATATACACGTGCAATGCATGTTAGTGTGTACTTCCCCATGTGCACGTGTATGAGCATGCCCATAGCATGCTCATACATGTGTGCCTGCGTCTGTACATTTATGCATGTGTATGCATGTGTATGCATGCAAACACATGCATACATGCTTGCATGTGCCTGTGCCTATGTGTACATGTGTATTTGGGTGCCATAAAGTCTCTGATCTGCAGAGGTGGCCAGCCTTTTCCAGAGAACGTTTTGCAGATCTGTTGTCGGATGGGGAAACAGGGTCCCAGAGCAGGTCTGCTGCTCCTTGGAGTATGGAGGAATGGGGATCCCGGTTCCTGCTCTGTCCCCGTTGGGGACAGGGCACTGGGATCTGCCTGCAGGTACCTCTAGGGCAGGGGTCCTCAAACTTTTTAAACAGGGGGCCAGTTCACTGTCCCTCAGACCGTTGGAGGGCCGGACTATAGTTTAAAAGAAACTATGAACAAATTTCTATGCACACTGCACATATCTTATTTTGAAGTAAAAAAACAAACGGGCAAAAACACCCGCATGTGGCCCACAGGCCATAGTATGAGGACACCTGCTCTAGGGCCTGCTGGTCTCAGCTTAGGGATCTGAGTTGCTCAGGTGCAGGGCACACTGCTGGCCAGAAATAGTTTGGGATGAGCCAGCAGTGTTGAGCTCCCAGGCTCTAGAGACTTTCCACCCCCAAGCTCCCATCGGAAAACCCAAATCTTGGACTCCAGAAGCCCCCTCCGTGGGCCCTGAGCCTACTGGATGGACTCCCTCCCTGGAACCTGGCTGCAACTCTGCTAGACTAAAGAGACCACGAGGGGGTGCCAGGGCCCTCGACACTGAGCACTGAAGGTCGTCTGTAAACAGGATGCGTGGGAAGTGGACTCTGGCCCCTGGGGGCGGGGGTCTGTCCAGGTGTGAGAATGTTTCATTTGAGCCACTTTTAGCCTTTGGGCTCGATCCACCCTCCCCCGCCCCATTGAGAGTGGGCCCTGGGGGTCTCTGTAACCCTTTACGCTGCCTGGTGTTTGGCAGTGCAGGAGCCCAGGTTTGTCAGAACAAATGTGGTTTCTACATATTGGGTTGTTTACTGTGGGGCCAATCCAGTCCTTCCCAGCCCCCCACCTGGCTCCCCTTGTCCACCCTGTGTGGCTCTAAACTTCCATGCACCCCACCAAGGAAAGAAGCCAAAGTCTAGTCCCAGAGCCAGTGTTTATTAGCAAGATGGAACCCAAGGGCAGCTGTGGCCTGGGCAGCAGAGGGCTGCCAGGAGCCCCCCATGTACCCAACTGCCCCCCAGAGCTATTTACACCCATCACCTGAAGTGTGGGCAGAAGGGAGCCCTGGGGAGCCCCTGCAGGCCCCAAGCCTCCACCGTGGCCTCCACCATGGCCCCCTCTCCTCTCAGGAAGGAGGGCTCCCCTTCATCCTGCCTGCACCTGGCCCCTCTGCTATTCTCCCAGCCTCTGAGTCAAGGTGGCACAGGAAAAGCTAGGGAGGTAGAGTGGGGCGGCCCTGCCCTGCCCAGGTAGGGAGGGGAGAAGGGGTTGAAGGTGCTGCCCCACCCAGGCAGGACTCCTCCTCTCCTGTCCCCAATAAATAGAGAATAAATACCTGGGAAGGGGCTGGCCTTGGCTGAGTGCCCCCAACCCAGGCAGGGGCCAGCATCCTGTGACGGCCCCTTCTTCCCTTCTCCGAGTGCACCCGAGCCCCACCCCAGTCCATGTCTCTGCCACAGCACAGTTGACAGCATTCATCAGCAAAGGTGTGCAGTCCATGCCCCATCCAAATGGGGCTTGCTCCCTCCCCGTGTCCCGTAGATCCTGGTGGTGGCCTTCAAGCAAGCAGACTTCCAGCTGAGTCTGGGGATTGTGTGGTCCTGGCCTGGCCCTGCCAACTTGCTGGGCCTGGTTAGGCAGGCTCCATTTTCTGCCGTCTCTGACCAGCATGGGCCGAAGTTTTGGATGACGCTGCCGCTGAGGCAGGCTGTATTCAACCCACCAATAAATACTGTCTTTGCAGGGGAGGGTGTGTATAGAATATAGATATTTTATATATATATATATCTTTTATATTAAAAGGGACGAGGGCTAGGCTGGCCCTTGGCAGGGCTCAGGCGGCTGGCCTCATGTGTCTGGAGGGTGGTGCCGGCGGTTCCGGGGCTTTTTCTGGTCCTGGGGCTCTGGGGGCCTGGGTGCCCCTGGAGTCTCCCTGGGGCTGGGGGGCACGTGACGCCAGTAACCCTGGCAGTACTGGTGGATGAGGCCCACTTCTGGCTGGGCCAGCAGCTGGGCCAGCTCCTGGTAAGGAGGTGTGGGGGCGCCTGCGCCTGGGGGCGGCGGGGCGCTCACAGCCAGAGGTGGGAAGAGCGCAGTGTGGACGGCGTCCCGGCCCAGTACATGCAGCTGCACCCTCGTGACGACATGCTTGAAGTTGTTCTCAGTGGCGGTGCACGAGTAGAGGCCGCGATCACCGAGCTGCAGGGCACGAAGCAACAGGCCCTGCTCTGTGCGCAGGAAACGGTCCTCTGCACGAATCTGCAGGGGTGGGGAGTGGTGGCTCAGGGGTCTGTGACCACTCCCCTGGCCTAGCCAGCCCCCAGATCAGACCACCGTTGTGAGCATTCCATGTAGAGGCACCTATGTGGGATTTCTGCATACCAGGAAAAGCCCACATGAAGTCTCCCCATAACAAGAGATATCTGAGTAAGGCATTCACCCACGTTTCCTTCTCAGAGGGATGACCATAAGGGGGTTCTGTACAATGAGAAAATTTTAGAGCACACACAGAATTTCCATTTAATGAGAATACCAAATTGGGGCACTTGTATAGAATACCCACGTAAAGAGGGCCACCTGCAAGGCACTTCCATAAAACAAGGCCCCACAGGATTTCCCTGTACCCACATGATGTTTCGCACAGCGAGGTACGCCTCAGTGGGGTGTGGTGTGGCGTTGTCACGTACAGAGGCACACCTATGACACACCCATGAGCAGTCTCCATACACTGAGGCCTGTCCCACAGTTCCTACACGACTACTTTCACTCAAGTGATTTGCGGAGGGAAGGGAGCCTGCAAGGGGCTCATAGCATGAGGGCTGCCCCAGACTGGTGCCTCGGCTACATTTCACCCATGTGGATTTCTACTGTGCGAGGGACTCCGACATCCGTGGTGTGGGACCGCAGGGCACAGGAGCTCACCTCTCGGCGCCGGTCCCCAGGATCTCGCTGGAACAGCCACTTAATGGTGGCCTGGGGTGAGCGGGGCTGGCACTCGAGGAAGGCTGCACTGCCTGCCACGCCGTACTGCACAGACTCCACGGCATTCTTGTTGGCTGCAGGCCAAGAGGAGCCGAGTGAACGCAGGACCACCTCTGGGCAGCCCACAGGCAGGTGCCTGCAGGCACGGATGGAGGCAGGGCTGTGCCCATGGGCGTCCATTCCTTGAGGGGGTAACTATCTCTAAAACCCAAAGCCCCCTCAGCCCCCAACCAGCCATCTGAGAATCCTTTCGGTGGGAGGCCCTGTGAGCAGCTACAGGGTCGCACAGGACTCTGCAGTGGGTGAGGCCCGGCACACTCACCGTTGGAGTTGAACCCACGGCACTGCCTGATGGGGTTTCCGTGCCGGACGTCCTGCCGGCGGCTCCGCCTGGATGAGGATAGCTCCTGAAGGAGTGCTCCCAGGAAGCTTGCCCCCCAGGTCCCTGTACCCCTCAAATGCAGGGCAGGGCCCTGTGTCCCCAGGGCAGTGATATCTCACCCACAGACTCCCCCAGGGTAATATCACATCCACCTCTAACCCCCCAGGACAGGGCCCTAGGTCTGGCTGCTAAAGTCCCAGGGCCCGGGGGTCCACACCTCTTGGAGGATGCTGTGTAGCGGGAGCAGGCCTGGCCATCCCAGGCACAGTAGGGGTCCCGGGCGAGGCAGCAGTCGGCACAGGCAGCCCCATATGCCTGGCAGCGGTGCAGGCTCAGATGTGTGACACCCACGGCTGAGGCCACGTACAGTTGTTGCTGGGGGCAGGGCAGGAGCCTGTCAGTTCCCTTTCCACAGCCAGCCCCCATCAGTAGCCAGTTGGGCCAGGCTCTTTGACTTCCCTGCCCCATGCTTCAGTTTCCCTAGCCCTGTGCCAAGGGCATGGCCTCAAGGGGTGTAGGCCCCACCCCACCTCAGCCCACCCTGCCAAAGACTCACCCTCTTGGAAGAGATTGTCATGGTCTTGACAGGTGCTGGGTCCTAAAAGAAGGTAGAAATCAGCCTGGGACCGCAGGCACCACCTATCTGCCCTGACCTAGAGGTCTAAGGTCAGGGGCTGGGATGGGGGAGGGTCAAGGTGGGGAGGCCAGGACTGGGTGGTGTCACACCCACCTTGAAGACCTCCACCTCCTCCAGCATGAGCTCCTCCATCTCCTGGTCATCTTTGGGCAGCACAATGACCTTCTGCACTGTCCCGCGGTCTGGAACGGGCCGGGCAGGGCCTCAGTGGGGCTGGGGATGCTGGGGAAGGGGCACCAGCCTCAGCCCCTTCCCCCACCAGGGCCCAAACCCCCCTAGGGCAGAGGAGCAGGAGCTCTGTGCCGAGGTTGAAGGGTTTCCCCAGGATGAGGGCAGAGGGGAATGGCCCAGGACAAAGGGGGTCATGGCCAGGATCTGGCCCCCACCTTGACCTTCATTGTGGGCCCTGCTGAGAACAGGACACTGGGACATTCCCATGTTGGGGGCTGCTGGAACTGTGGTGGGCGCACTGGGTGTGTGTGCACATGACCATGTGCGTCAGTATTTGGACCCATGTATCCTGGAGGTGTCCACCATTTCCACCCATTTCCTGCCACACATGGGCCCCTGCCATAGATGCTCACTGTCCCTGCTCTCCCAGGCCCTGGGGATGCGGAAGGAATGGGATTTTCCCATTCCTAGCCCCAGCTATTCCAGCAATAGGGAGAAGGCTCCAAAGGGTAAGGATGACAGCATTGACCCTGAAGAGCCTGTAGCAACCCCTAGCAAGGCGAGTCCCAGCCCCCTGGGTCTACAATCCCCACCCAGTGGGCCCAGCGTGGGAGGGGCCGGGAGCAGCAGCGGG